TTCATAAAAATATCACAGATACCCTGACGCCTTGTTTTTCAATGCAGATTCTTTTAACCTTCAGGAGCACAGCGGTAACTATATGTACCACATGTTTTAACATTCACAGTCTTGTCATTCTGACGACAGTGTATTTATATATTTCGTACGATGCATACAATAAACGACCATCCCCCCCCACAAAAAAAACCCGGCTTTAACCGAATGGTGCTTCCAGTGAGAATGCAACATGTTTTCTGTGAAGTAGGAACTAAATTGTAAAATGTTATTTAGAAACATGGGAAATTTTCTTAGACCAAAAGGAATACAAAAAGTAAGGGGCTACCAAAGGAAGACACCGAAATTAACTTCCATTCTCTATGCGCTGTGACCCCTGCGTTTTGTGTCTGCAGCACGGGATGCTGCGAGCGGAAATCACATCTTCAGACATAAGGGAGGGTGAACCCTTGCAGCCACCAGTGTTGCCAACTAACCTGCCCCAGTAAGCAGGCTAACTTGCGGTTGTCACGATTCCGTACCTGACGATCAGATATTTGAGGTTCTAACGGCAGTGACTGTGAAGATTACTGATATGTGACGCAGTGTAGTCCGATAGATCGTTACTGATGTCTGAGAGGCATCCGCTGCATCTGTCTTCAGGTTAGAACAGGGAGGCAGAAGTTTCGATCAAACCCCAGTAAAGTACGTGTAAAGCGTCTCTGAGGGTACGTCACACCTAGGGTGGGCAACCTTACGGAACAAAAGTCCCGTGTGTTCACTGAGACCTCCGTCATTGGGATTCTGGTTCCCATCGTACGTGAAAACAGACTCACTGAAAACGCAACAAAATACGTCACTACATGACAATGACGCAACCTCAAAGCTGTTCAGACACAGTTTAGCCTGCCTATCTACCAAACTACAGGGACTCAAATACTACAAGGCCATACAAACACACTCCGTGGCCTGTAGTCCGCAAGCGAACTATACCGACCGAGCGACCGCCGCTTGTCAGAAAAGTTAGTGCCAACTTTAGCGGATAGAGGGTGCCACGTGGTCAGCGCAATAGATCCCCACGGCCGTTAATCTCGGTTTTCTAGACCGAAGCCGCTATTTCCTTGAAATAGCTCCTCAATTATCCTGACGAGGCTGAGTGGACCCTGTTCCAGACGGACTACTTCTCAAAAAAATCTGGTAGCGCCTTGAATCGAACCCGGGATCTCTAGCTCTGTGGTCAGGAAGTCTGACCACTAGACCACAGAGGCGGTCAGTCTTAATATGTAGCTATACTACATTCAGGATTGATATAAACTGGCGACAGCATATTTGCCTTCAGTCTGAAAGTTCCCGTGGAGGTTAAGCACTGCGCACACTTAACCTCTGCATTTGATGGAGGTGAGTGGTCAAGTACGCCCAACGTAAGAAAGAAGACATCGCCACTTAGAGGACAGCACTTCGGGTGCTGAAGTAATCCCCCCACCCCCGGAAATCTGACCCTTCAGCTCCAGCCACGTAACTGACCTATCCTCCACGTAATTCCATATGAGAATGTGGCACCGTCGGTTCGACTAGCGCACTTATGACGTGGTGTCTGAATTCGTGCATTTTTCAACACGTGCCGAGACAGGAGAACGTGCCTTCGATCCCCAACATAGAAGAGGGGTGGCTTGCTCTGAAGGGTGACTCACCCTCGTTCTGAAGTTGATAAAGCATACAACACTCTACCACTGAGTTCACATTTTCTGCTCAGCGAAATCGCTAGGGATGCTGCAGTAGATAGGAGCTGTATGTCATGGCCACCAAAACACCACAGGGGAGGTTTGAGTGCCCTGATAACCTGGATAGTCATACCAGCGGCAGCGCACCATCTCGATAGGGGCATCCATGCGAGAAAGATCGGAGGGTAGGTGCCGGGTAGGGCGTGAGACCCACGTCAACTCAGAAAATAATATATGTTGAGTAACATAACGATGGAAGGTAAAGGTAAAGCTGTCCCTGTGCTTAACTAATTAAGTATTAAGCCATGAAAACGTATGGGGGAGTAGATGTATAGACCCATGTTTTCTTGACCTCGGCACTAGCTGGAGGTGAGTGGTCAGCTTCACGCACAGGCCGCTTTATCCCCGGGGGAAGAGGCCCGGTACTCACTGGATAAGAGGTTGGGTGTACCCCAGACCCGGTCTGGACTACATGGAGAAGTGAAAATTCTTGACCCCATCGGGACTCGAACTCCGATTCCTCTGTCGTCCAGCCAGTAGCTTGTCGCTACACCGACTGCGCTATCCCGGCTCACACATAACGATGGAAGCTGGAAGGAAAATGGACACCTGCCGTAAAGGAGGCCAAGGTTCTCAGAGGACCGTAGGACCAGGGAGGAAGAGGAGAGAACAGGTGGAGTAAAGTCCGTCTATTTACTTCGATTCACCTTTATTAAGCATCACGTCTTGAAGATGTATGAGGGAGTGGAGATATAGTTCCACGCATTCTTTACCTCAGTACTAGATGGTCACAACGACCATATTGTATTTGAAAATGAAGTTCTGACGAAGATTTGTGGACATACTCGTATGATTGGAATAAAAATAAGCTCGAGAAAATTATATTACAAGCTAAAACATTTGTATAACATATACAGTAAAACTTGGTTATAGCAACATCGGTTTCTGCGACACCTTGTCTATTGCGTCAAATATTCAATGGTACGAACTAATTCCTCATAAAGCAACTGTTTTTATACCTTGCTTAGTACGACATGCACAAATGCATCAACCTCGTATGTAACGTCATTTTCATTCCTGAATTTCTCTGATATGGACATTGAACGTAATTTAGAAAGTGTGTATTGGGCAAGTAACAGGAAACAGATGAAGATAACTGATTACTGTACTCGTATCTAGGTACAGTAAGGCACAACAATTGATGTAATCTACTGTAATTTGGTGAGTAGGCCTACCTTTAATATACAGTATTAGTGCGGTGTGTATTGTCAGTGAAAAGCGCTGTAATATGTCTTTGATATTACACATTTGGGCAATTCCATGTTAATGTTACGTTAGTCTGTACTTAACTATGTATTTCACTAAAAAATGCAACATTTTAACTCGGTTTTTGGTAGATTTTTACGTGACTAACATAAGGCTACTATGGAAGTGCCCATTTCGGTTACAACGACATTCGTTTATAACGACACTATTTTTAGGTCCCTTTGATGACGTTATAACCAAGTTCTACTGTATATTATTATTAAGGGATTAAACAGGCAAAAAACTGTAGTATGCATGGAAGAAAGTAGATATGATAACAAAATTTTGACCGGAAAATGCCCAAACAAGGAATAACTTGCTACATATAGGCTTAGATGCATGAATACTATTGCAATTCGGCATAAACAAAGCGTGACGGAGAACGACTAGTTTCAATCGCCACCTGACGACCGCTGACACGCCTGAGGTGTTACCGCCCGCAATGTAGGCACTAAGGGAATCAGTTCGCTCGCTTGGACCCCAACGCACTTCAACCCTCCTAGCAGCTTTTAAATCACCGCCCTGCATTCCTTGCCAAGAGGCGACACCAGAGGGGGAACATTCACAACGCATTCACTCTGGGCGTGGCACATTTTATGTTTATGGATGGACAGACAGCTCGATATTCTACACAGACGGATGGACATATATGTATTTAATTTATTTATGGTTTATCTAACGATCCCGCTGTCGCTATATAGTGTCGAAGGATAAGATGATTAGGGATAATAAATTGGAAGGGATGTGAAAGGAAGCGGCGGTGGCCTGATTTGAGGTATTATACCGACATCTGCTTGAAGGGACTGAGTAAAAACAACAAAAAACCTCAGCTGGTAGATGTACTGCCAGAGATTCGGAACGGTAAACTCCTGAAAAGATGTACTGAAGATGGATGGATAGACAGAAAGGTCAGAGAGACATACATTGCTAGTTGGGTGGGACTAAGTCCCTTGTACTGCGGCCACTTCTGGCCTATTGTACCAGCCCCAGATGATAGTTGAGGGTGATTGTGGAGCAATTGGTGGAATGAAGATTAGCAGGGGAAACCGAAGTACTCGGAGAAAACCTGCCCCAGCGCCACTTTGTCCACCACAAATCCCACTTGACCAGACCCGGGATCGAACCCGGGCCGTCGCGATGGGAAGCCAGCGATTAACCGCTTGAGCTATGGCGCGGCCTATAGACATACATAATGAACTCATGTATGTGGCATATTCGTACACAGTCGATGACTCTTACTGACCATATTGTCAGCAATAACAGTACCTGTTAGACTTCAAAATGGAGTGGTTACCGACACACAAGCGTTTTTATTAATCGACTCACAAGCGGCACGCGGTACAAGCCGGGCGGCTGCGGGTTCGATTCCCAGCCGTACTATGGCCTTGCAAAGTGAGTATCAGGAATCTTTCTGGGGGTAAAGGGCGTCCGGCGCGTAAGGCTGACAACCTCAACGCCATCTATGGGCCGATTATCTAGAAAATGTGGGAGCCTCCACGTCTCACAACCCTATGTGGCCTCCACGGCCTTTTACAGGGATGGCTTTAATATTTTTTTAATCATCTCATAACATGTTTCGGCCCAAATAGTTAGTCATCAGGGAATTATTGAGAACTACACAAATGGTAACAGAATAAAATGCTATGGGTCGTATCCCACGTAATACTATACACACATTATGCTTTAAAATTAATTTATCATATGTATTGAAATTAAAAAATAAACTGAAATAATCAAGGAGAACCCTGTAAAATGCGGTTGATGGATGTTTTTGAGATTGGCCTGAGTAACAAGACTTTATACTAGCATGTATGCCGTCACCATTGATGTATTTCCTCAAGAATCACCTGATGATGGCCTCTCTAGGCCGCCACATCTTGGGAGTTGATTAAATAAAAGCATTTATTTGCGTGACGATAGCCCCTCCACTTCTGTCTGTAAGCACCACAAACAGGATGCAACACTACAAGACCTGTTAAGACTTCTGGGACCTCTCACCTTGGATAAGATCTGCTTGCTCTTGGAGTATTTCCGGCCGCAACTTGAACACCGGTGTAGTGGTGCCAGCAGGTGGTAATCCTCCAAACTATCGAGAGAGCGGCGACTTCGCCAAAGATTTCCGCACAACATTGTCACTCTTCTAATGCGATTCTCATGTCCGAAAGCTCTGAATATTCATAACACTATTGTCCGTTGCACAACCGACAACCACTTGTCTTATGTTCCTCTCACAAAATATCCCAAACAACTCGTCTTTGGTGGCCACTCTATTTTACATTACCTTTAAAACTCGTCATACAAATATCAGACTCTCTTATACTTCAACACAGGAGAACATCTTAACCGTCTGAAGCAAGAAGTTCATATGAACAGGATTTAAGAGTTCAGTACCTACCTCACAGAGAACGCACATAACCCAGCCGAATAATGAGTCAGGAAAATAATAGCTGTTATTGAAGAATCATATGAAATACGTACTTATAACGTGTGGTAAAAAAATGCAAAATTATTTACTGTTAAAGCAGTTGGTACATATAGTAACCACTGAGTTTTAAGGGCTAAATAATTATAAACAAATTATCCTTCACGACATAAACATCGGAAAGAAAATGGTCCTTAGGCAAATAATGACTGAAGATCTGTTTTCAATTGTCTTAACACAGAACCCATTAGCGTGCGTTTGTGAACAACGGAAGGAGCCCTCTGATTCATTAAAAAGAACACTTTTCCAGATCACCTGTGTAACTCAAAGTTTCTGAGGAAAAACTCCTTATAGCAACGAGTAAGCGAAAGTCACTTTTTGAAACCTTATTCGTCACAGTACAAGATTTAAATACTTAGAACACTTTCAAGCCGATGATGAGGTACTCCAACAGCCGATAGCGCGTTAGCACAGGCTGTCAGCGAACAGCAGATCTGGCGAAGGATGCGCACCGTTTGAGTTCTGATCTTGGGAACAAGGTGGCTATATACAGGTAACGGCGGCAGGGAGGGGCGGCCCTACTACCTGGACAGGCAAACTACGCCCTCGTCGGTTTGTTATCGATCGGAAGTGCGCTCTTAAGCTTTATGTACGTCTCTCATGCGAATGGAAGGTCCATTTTAATATCATTCTTCGATTTATAACCAGGCATCTCAGGTTAGTATTTCAACTAGAGTAAAAGTAAAAATAAGTAAAGCTATCCCTGTAACAGGCCGTGAAGCCCAATATGGTTGTGAGACGCTGAGGGTCCCACATTACCTTGACAATCGACTCAATGATAGCGGTAAGGTTGTCAGCCTTACGCACCGGCCGCGCTATACTCCCCAGGAAAAATATTTAATTAATTCCTAGTATTCATTTCTATTAGAGGCTGAGTCGACCCCAGGGCCATAGTGCGGCTGAAAGGATTTGGTCAACTGAAAAAAAATCCAATGACCTCATCGGGACTTGAACCCGCGACCTTTCGGCTTGTAGCATAGTGCATCAACCAACTACGCTACCGCGTGCCCCCCTTTCAACTAGAGTTCCATACGTATTTATCTCCCGATTCGTACTACATGTCCAACTTATTTCATCGCTTTGCTGCATCGCGCACAACTCACGAATCTCGGGAGCTGAAGTAGCTCGGTCAGTACAGCGACTACGCTATGGGCTGGACGACAGAGGAACTGAGGTTCGATTCCCGGTAGGGGCAAGAAATTTTTATCTTCTCTGTAACGTCCAGACCTCCTATACAATGGATAACGGGAGGATGCTTCCCCGGAGGTAAAGCGGCAGAGGCGTGAAGCTGATCACTCATCTCCATCCCCCCATACGTCTCCACGGCGTGGCGTTTAATTAATTAAGCCCAGAGATAAATTTACCTTTATCTTAGCGAGATAGTTCAGACATGCCCGACTGTGGATTCGGGGCCATAAGCTTCTCTTCTACGCTATCCAATGGGCACTGGTGGAGGGGGATTCCCTCGGGAGTAAAGTGGCCGGTGCACACCACTCACCTCCATCTAGTGCCGACGTTAGGAACCTACATCCCCCGTAGGTTTACACGGCATGGCGCTTAATTAAGCACAGAGGTATTTATTATTATTATTATTATTATTATTAGAGGGGGTGGGTTTCCCCATGCACTTAGACCAGTTATTGGTCCATTGTGCGTCCCCCTTCAATTTCTACTGTCGCCATACCTTACCGGTACTGGTGCGTGCTATCAGCCCTGTTCAGCCAACGAGGTCGGCCGTCGGTAAGTGATATTTCCCCCATCTACCAGAGGCGTTGGAAACTACTTGGGCGGGAAATTATTGCCTAATTAATTTTGCTCAGAGGTCTCCTAGAGACATGAGGATCTTTTACGTCCCTCCCGGAGGACTTGTTCCTGAATTTTTCCGCCCTTAAATATTCCACGACCTCCGTCGGGTTTGAACCCGCGTATCTTGAGTCATGAGGTGGGAAAGCACAGAGGTAACTTTACCGTCACTTCTATCTCATTACGCAACAGTCTTATGGTCGATGACACATTTAAACTGTGTCTAGAAGGTGTTAGAAGTTATCGCTCGTCACTGTGTGAAGAGGTGTGAAATTACGTAAGGCGGAGGAAGAGAAGGAAAATGAAAAGAAGAGAAAAGACAAGGATGTAAGGCTACAGTTTACACGTGATCTCCATAACGAACTCCATGGACCAGAATCTTTCTTGAGAAGCTAATAAGAAGACCACAATTCCTTAGAAAGTAGTTATTAAGATGGAGGTAGCATGTTTCTCCGAAACGTCGAAAAAGTTTTGCCATACTATAAAACGTATCGTCGTGAAAACCTCAACCCGCATATAAACTGAAGCATGCCGAGAAATCCTAGTTTTGCTTTACCACAATTACCAGACACAGGCCTACTGAGGGAGACATCCAACTTAGATTCGTGTGCGTCTATGAAAGCCGTAACAATCATACGAACCTGGTGTTTTTGGAACAGGTAGTACGACAGACAGGTTACTAACATCTTGCATGTGTGCTGCAGCGCATGCGCACTGAAGCCCACCTTTGTCGCACGACAGGTTTCTTTTTTACTTTATCTCAGATTTACTTATAATTCTTTTCAAAGAGTACCACTTGCATGTCACGAACCAGAGTTCCTTCCTGTCAGTGTACGAGCCCAAAGGAGGCATGTTGCCCGCGTGCCATTGTGTGATTAACGCACATCAGCGGCAGATTCGAAATTCTGGAAAGGCACTGTCATATAATTCAAAAGCAACACACTAATTTACAAGCGTAACCTTCTGAAGCATGAAATTCATCTAAATAACGTCTACAAATGCAGTCCCTTCCTCACAGAAAACACAAAGTCCAACCTGTTCAGGGAAACAGAGATAAAGTTGTCCCTGTGCTTAACTAATTAAGCACTACGCCATGAAGACCTATGGGGGAGTGGATGTATAGATCCACATTTTTGGACCTCGGCACTAGTTAAAGGTGAGCGGTCAGTTTCACGCGACGGTCGGTTTACACCGGGGGAAAGAACCCCCAGCACCCATTGGATATGAGGCTGGGTGGGCCCCAGAGCCGGTCTGGACGACGTGGAGAAAATTCTTGACCCTACTGAGACTCGAACTCCGACCCCTCCGTAGCCAGTCGCTATACCGACTACGCTATCCCGGCTCCGTTTAGGGAAATAATAGCTGTTTATTGTGAAAACCATATGAAACACACAAATACAGAGTGTCGGCACAATTAACAGTTTGTAATGTAAAGCAAGGGGAACATGCAGTTATCAATGTGTTTCAAATGATTAAATAAATGTAAATCACAACTAATAAAAAGTGAAGAGATGTTCTTCCAATGTTTTCTTGTTCATGTCTTATTTTCCTTGATGTCCATTTCTTACATATACAAACAGACTGTTACAAAGCTAATTTACGCTTTAACAATTAGGAGTCGTATACAGTTGTTCCTTTTATTTCGTTAAATAGAATATACAAAACTATAATTTTGCCTGTGGTTCTGTATGGGTCTGAAACTTGGTCTCTGACATTAATAGAGGAACATAGACTGAGGGTGTTTGAGAAAAGGGTTTTGAGGAGAATATTTGGACCAAAGAGAGATGAAGTGACAGGAGGTTGGAGAAAACTGCATAATGAGAAGCTTCATAACTTGTACTCTTCTCCAAGTATAATTAGAATGATCAAGTCAAGGAGAATGAGGTGGGCAGGTCATGTAGCACGAATGCGGGAGACGAGGAATGCGTATAGGATATTGGTGGGAAAGCCAGAAGGAAAGAGACCACAGGGAAGACCAAGGCGTAGGTGGGTGGACAATATTAGAATGGATCTTAGAGAGATAGATGGGATGGACTGGATTGGATAGATCTGGCTCAGGATAGGGACCAGCGGAGGGCTCTTGTGAACACGGTAATGAACCTTCGGGTTCCATAAAATGCTGGTAAATTCTTGAGTAGCTGCAGAATTGGCGGCTCCTCAAGAAGGGCTCAGCTCCATGAGTAAGTAAGTAAGAAAGTAATAAGTAACATCAACAATGATTTAAATAAAAACACGCAAATCTTAGTTAGGTCCACATTTTATGCCATGAACATTTTTATGGGCTGTTAAAAGAAGACTACAGGCATCGGCTTCAGGGTTACACTGAGGGGAGGGGTAGGGCGTCTGAAATGTGGGTTCTAGAAGTTTCGATTTTTTCCCCTCCACTCGCGCGGTCATCATTTTTAACGATTATATAAAAGGATCCCAATGAACGGATGGGAATCGTTATTACGTATAAAGCGGCCATCCCCGGGTTTACGTAACTGTTACCGGCTTGCCGATCCGGCAACTTCTCCGACAAATGTCTGTAGGGGTACGTACCTCAGTCCTATAACGTAAAGCTGTCCCTGTGCTTAACGAATTAAGCACCATGCCACGAAGGCGTATGGGGGACTGGATGTATAGATCCACATTTTCTTGGCCTAAGCAATAGCTGGAGGAGAGTGGTCAGCTTCACGCCCCGCCCGCTTTACCCCCGGGAAAGAGTCCCTGGTACCCATTGGAGAGGAGGTTGGGTGGGCCCCAGAGCCGGTCTAGACGACGTGAAGAAGTGAAAATTCTTGTCCCCACCGGGGACTGGAACTCAGACCCGTCGGTCGTCTAGCCCGTAGTCAGTCGCTATTCCGGCTCACTGCCTCAGTCCTATAGACTAACTATTTAATGCGCGTGGAATTTCTGAAGTAGCTGAACAACTATTATGGCGATGAGATGCCACAAAGATGCACAGACATCTACGACAGCGACCGGGGACACACAAGCCATACAGACATGTTATTACGGCGCAGCAAATGCAATTCCAATTCAGATGTGACAGCTTTATTCTGGAGGGAATGTCACACACACAGGACGCTGGTACTCTCGTCCTGCCTGCAGAGTAGACAGACAAAAGACGTTGTCATAGCTTAAAAGGGCCAATGTGAAGTCTGCCAATAACAACATCCGGCCCTTTTGGTTAAAATATAAGGGACCTTTCTTCAGAAGAACGTTGCTCGCACCTGGACTTCGAAGCCTTCAATCTGTCTTGATACGCTGGCATCGAAATTCGCATACAGAATGCCCGCGAATATTGTAACCAGGATAATGCTTCAAGCGGCAATGCAGGGGGGAGAAGGGCGCACGCATTATGGGCGATATATGGAAAGGCTCACAGAAATTCATGTAAATGCAAAGCTGTCCCTGTGCTTAACTAATTAAGCTCTACGACATGAAGACGTATGGAGGAGTGTTTGTATAGATCCACATTTTCTTGACCTCGGCACTAATTGGAGGTGAGTAGGTTAACTGCAAGCTCCGGTCACTTTAACCCCGGTACCCAATGTATAGGAGGCTGAGTGGACCCCAGAATTGGTCTGGAGGACAGGAGAACTGAAAATTCTTGACCCTACAGGAACTC